ATCCTGTCAGGCTATATACTAGCCTTATGTCCTGGGGTGGACCTATATCCTGTCAGGCTATATACTAGCCTTATGTCCTGGGGTGGACCTACATCCTGTCAAGGTGTATGCCAGCCTTAAGCCCTGGGATCGGCTCCAGGACCTCCTGCAGCCCTGCTCAGGATAAGCCATTCAAAGACTGAGGGATAAAGTCTCCTACATAAATGCTCCAAGAACAAACTAGGTGGGGCGCAAACCAGGAGGTTTCAGTACAGCCCTGACTTTTTCTAGTATTATAGACTAAATATAATTCTCAAACAATTAATGGTGAGAACATCAAATAGAGTAGCATTGGCTCCTAGCCAAAGTGAACCTCTGGGGTTAAAACAACAGCAACAATATCAGCAAAAGCAACAAAATCCACAGCTGCTTTGCAATCATTTCACTCCCTCACTCACACACACACACACACACATATATATATGGACATATGTCGACATTAATACTTAAATTATACACAGAAATTATTCTGCACTATAGCAATAGCAAACCAAAGACGTTGTTAATACATTGTTGAAGGCAAATGGCCACCCTAAAAATATACTATTCAATTGAAACAGCCAGATATTGTAGCCTGAAAGGAAGGGACCTCTAAGAAGACTTACTCAGACATCCCAACCTGCAAAAACTCATTTCAGGGAGGTCCCCCCCTCCCCCCCGCCAAGAAGGGAAATGACTTTATTTCACACAAGAGAATTTCTACATTGGCCATATGTATAATTTTTTGTTAATTAATTTTTTCTAGTCAGCACACTAAATTTCGAAGGCTCCACTGAACCGATAACTTCGGTCCTCGAGAAGTTAAATAAAAGCCCGCCCGCACTGAAATCTGATTGGCTTATTTTGCTAAGTAGACCAATCAGGATGCTGTCTGTCTAGCACGGGCTACATGAACAGGCACACACGCAGGGATCCATACATACGCACGCTCTCTCTCTCTCTCTCTCTCTCTCTCATTCCGTCGTGCGCGCGATTTTCTCAAGTGCGCGATGGACACGTTACTGTCTCGCGCGCATGCTCTTGTGTGCTTGCTCTAGTTTCCGGGACATTTTATTCAATTTGCAGGCATCAGGGAGCCGCTATCAATATGCGGGAGACTCCCGGAATTTCCGGGAGACTTGGGATGTCTGCTTACTCACGTTGTAACTTTCAACATATAGCCACATAAAACAGTCACTGTAACTGTATCATAAGTTCTCCGCTTCAGTCCAGTTTCTGAAGTTGTATCTCAGGCCATGTCATACTGCATCCAAGCCTCAAGTACACTGCATTAAATTTGAACTACTTTTAACCATTTGCAATGTCCAGTTTCACATGACATTGGAAAGAGGAAGAAGATAAGACGAGTGCAAGGCAGCTGTATGCTTTGGGACATTCCTGTGCACTTAAATAAGCGAGCTGCTGTGTGGTTCTGTGGGTTTTCACACTGTACGTCTGGTTGGAAGGTCACTGGTTCAAATGCTAAGGTTGGCAGACTGACTTCACCATTGGGCCCTTGAGGAAGGCCCTTAACCTCAATCGCTTTAGAGAGTGGCTGACTCTGTATCCTCAGTTGTTTATTACCTTGATTAAAAGCATCAAAAAATGTAAAATAAACAAACATTTCATTTCTCAGACAAATTGTAATAAAAATAGTTTTGCTGGGCAGCACTATGCCTCTGGCACAGCACAAGGGTCCATTAGCTTCTTGCGAGTCTCAATTCGAGTACATCGAGGACATCCTGCATTTCGGAAGCAGTCACTATGGAAACAGGCCTTGCATGCTGGTGAGATAAAAATATGTTTCATTTTAAGTGCTTATCTAATCAATAATATAAAAATGGAAACACTCAGTGGTTCAGTCAAGATGGTGTTTAGTAACCGAAAAGGGTATGAAAGGTAGACCCACCTGTACAGCGTTTACACGTCTCCTTTTGGAAGGGGAAGATGACATCAGAGCCTTGGCAGAACTCACAGATGAAGCCGTTGGCAAGGCAGAGCTAGAGGGAAGCATGCTAACATCAGCGGTCCATCTTGCGCCATTCTGGGAGCTAAAAACCTCAGCCAGAGGAGGGCAGCAAGCCTACACTAGTTTTGGTGCCAGAAGGTCACAGCATCACAATGGCAGGTCCTACGAAGCCCATGGGCCCCACGTCCTTTCACTGTGTTCGGAGAGCACAGCCAATCAAATCTGTCAATAGATGGCGTCACTATTTGGATAAAGAGCAACTGGCTGCTGTAGGAGTGAAAAATGTGCTAATTGGGCAGGCATTTCTGCCCGCATATGCCTCACGATAACTTTAATGATTCAGTCATACACAATTAAAGCTGGCAGTAGTGTGGAGTTCCTGGCCCTGTACTCTGTGGTTGGGGAAGTAAAGTGACCACAGCAAAGACTACACTGTTATTAGGGAGAAGTCCTGACTAACAACAAGGGTCACAAAGCATCAGTGCTGAGACATGCTCCTTTGCTCTTGTTCAGTCAAATGCTGCTAGTAACTTCCTTATCTGTTCTGTCAGGCATGTGGTGGTGGAATTACCCCGAAGTACACAAGAAGTCCTTTGGAAAGTTCTGGGACTTTTCATAAACACAGTTCCCGCCTGAAGGCACAAGTCTGGGTGTTAGTACAGTCAGAACACGCCTGCCTGACATCGCTATTCTGCTTCTCGTCCAGTGGGGTCCATGTGTCTAAGTGTTCTCAGCAAGTTGAGTGCCCTGCGTTAGCGTCCTGATGCGGTCTCTCTTTGTGCCAGGGGTCCAACACGGACGTGGGACTGACCTCACAGTGATCCACGTGGGCGAGGGCCTTCCGCAGCAGTGCTTTGGCCTGTGCCACTAGAGACCCGCGCTTGATGCCCAGAAGGTCGTCCAAAGAGAGAAGAGGCGGGTCCTGAGTTAGGTGATGGGGCAGCTGCTGAAATTCCTGCAGGAGCCTGAGGGAAAGGGAGAGGGAGAGGGGTGACAGACACGTGAAGGGAGGGCGCTCACAGTATGGAGCAAAGCATCATCCTCTGCATCCGTGACCACAGAGCTCTGACTGGTGGGCAGTAGGTCAGCCATGGAGTGGGTCAGGCTTGTGAATGGATTGGCCAGACCCACCCTGGCCCCTGTGGAGCTGGCCCTGGATGTGATGAAAATGCCTTCATCTCAACAGCCTATTGAAAGTACATGATTTACTGATACTCTGCATGGAAATTAATGAGGGAACTGCTGTCTAAACCCACAGTATAATATTCAGACAGTAAGCGAGGTGCTGGTGAAAAGGGAGTAATGTGGAGGAAGTGAGAAAGAGCCCATGTGCTGAGTGAGGTAAGTACCCATCTGCCAGTCTGCATGCTGCCAGGAACTTCTTAATGGATACCAGTTGCTCCTGAAGTTCCTATAGGAGGGGTGGGGGGCATTAGGGTCAGTGAAGAGACACAGCATGTGTCAAAGCATTAAACTTGTATAATAAATAACAGGCCAGTTAATATGGACGAACAGCCAAAGAAAGCACAGCTGTCAAAATGAACATCTCCAAAGCATGAAACAACCTGTCTTGTTCTGCACTACTCCAGACTCGGCACTTTTCGTTCAAACACAAATTACTGGGGAAGTGCTTGCAGCAATAGCTTGTTCATTGGTTGACCACAAGCACCGGCACTAACTTTAAAGTTACGCGGAAGTGCAGAATAAGAAATGTGGCAAAGCAAAAACTGAACGAACGGAATTATTTTTGTACCCCAATTACATGTAATGCATGAATTAATACATTTTTTGCTTGCATCTCCATATTTCTGTCTCAGAAAATGCGATAGCTGACCTGTACACTTTTGTTTAATTTTCCTGGAGCCAGCGGTAACACTTATTAGTGGGATAATGTTACATTTTTTATTCTGTGGAAAACGAAAGTTTGATTTCCTGGCCACATTTAGTAAGAATCATGAACACGTTGGAGGTCATATAAGTAAAATATAAATATCAGGCTGTGCCCTGTTTTGATCGTAATCAATCCTCCAATAACTAGCAAATAAATAACAAAATTACAAAAAAAAAATACTTATTTATCCTCCATTCTTTTGTTGCGGCGAATATGAAATTATGTGTGAAGTTTAACCTACAAACTTTTTCTGTCCCAGATCCCAGTTCCTGTTGTGTGGTGTGAAAGTGACACCTGAAAGTGGACGCCTACAAAAGTTCCCAGTTCCAGAACTTTGGTGTGAATGCACCTCGGTAGTATTCATGTTGATCCTGTTTATCTCTGTGTAGTACTCACCATAAACCTATCCTGTTCAAATAAGTAGTTATACTGTAGTTATATGTATGTAAAGCAAGAAACAACCTGTCTTGTTTTGCACAGTACTTATACTGACATTTCTGTACTCACCCTATACAGTACTCACCTATATAGTCATGTAGTGTTCACCCTGAACCTGTCTAGTTCTGTACTCACTCCCATTTCTTTGCAGTACTCACCCCAAACCTATTCTGTTGAAATCAGCCACCATACTGACCCTGTCCATTCTTGTGCAGTACTCACCCTGAACTTTTCCAGCTCCCGAGGCCTGGGGTGCAGGCTCCTGCTTATGCTGGTGGCATTGAAGAGGGGCTGATGCCATATGTTCTCCAGGAGCTGCTTGGAGAAGTTGCACACAGGGTAGCGGGTGAAGTCCCAGTGCTCAACAATGTGACCCGGGACCACCGACTCGTCCAGGCTATGGCAGCAGTCGCAGAGGTACTTGCCCAGGTACTCGCAGTATCGCAGTTTCTTGATGTACCCTGTTTCCCAGCATGCAGCGAGTGATCAGGTAAAGAGAATACCAATAAAACCATGGCCCACTCTGCCCATAGTTAACAGAACTAACGTGATAACCTCTTGTTGATCACACTATTATCCAGTACAGATGTTAGCGTCATTAATTTACATTTTTTATGTTCAAGCTCTCAAAACAGACAAATATCTAAAAGCAGATAAATATAACCTGATGTTTCTGTCTGTATCATGTTAAACAGGTACATGGAGTTTAATGGCTGCTTTCTGTCTGTAAACAATTTTTAAAAACAGATTTTATAAACCATTTATCATGAGAGGCTCATAGAGACTCCTCTGCTGCTGTTACTCCTGAACATGTAATAATGTAACAGACCAGCCATGTGCTTGGTGTCTTCAGGCATAATTAACACCCTGGTCTTAAATTTCATTTCTCTATTGTCATAGTCTAGCTCGGGTTATTTTTATGTTTATACACTTTATATAAAAAGGCACATCACCACACACAAACACTGAAACAGAAACTGAGCAGAAGTGAAACTCACTGACTTCCACCTCAGTGCCACAGCCGGCGCACAGGTACTGCTGTGAAGCCACAATTGTGCTCCGCCTGGAAAGGAGAACCGCGAGACAGCAGAACCCAGTGAGATGCAGAGGAAATGCAAGACAGGATAAGGCTCACTGAGACATGGCAGGGCTATAGGGAGATGCAGTGAAACACTGCAGGGCTACAAGGAAATGCACTGAAACATTGTAGAATATAGGGAGATACACTGAAACAGTAGGATATGAAAAGATGCACTGAAACACTGCAGGATATGGGAAGATGCACTGAAACACTGCAGGATATGGGAAGATGCACTGAAACACTGCAGGATATGGAAGATGCACTGAAACACTGTAGTATACATGGAGATGCACTGAAACACTGCAGGGCTACAGGGAAATGCACTGAAACAGCAGGATATGAAAAGATGCACTGAAACATTGCAGGATATGGGAAGATGCACTGAAACACTGCAGGATACGGGAAGATGCACTGAAACACTGCAGGATAAGGGAAGATGCACTGAAACACTGCAGGATACAGGGAGATACACTGAAACAGTAGGATATGAAAAGATTCACTGAAACATTGCAGGATATGGGAAGATGCACTGAAACACTGCAGGATGCGGGAAGATGCAGTGAAACACTACAGGATACATGGAGATGCACTGAAACACTGCAGGATACGGGAAGATGCACTGAAACACTACAAGATAAATGGAGATGCACTGAAACAGCAGGATACATGGAGATGCACTGAAACACTGCAGGGCTACAGGGAAATGCACCAAAACACTGCAGGATACAGGTAGATACACTGAAACAGCAGCAAACAGGAGGATGAACTAAAACATAACAGGACACATTGAGATGCACTGAAACACAAATGGAGAGTGGCTGGTGTGTGGCTCAGTGGGTGAGGTCGCCGGTTCAAATCCCCTACTGAATCACAGAAGTATATACTGAGAGTAACAAAGACAGAACAGAAAACACTGTAAATCAGAGACTCCACAGGATGTGCTGTGACATCCTGCACCATGATACTGGAACAGCATCAACAAACACAATCTGACTCACTTCTTTGGGGGGTGGATGTTGCAGATGATCTGGAAACGGGGTGGGGTCCAGGTGTGAGTTCCTCTCATCCTGGACTTCTGCCTGATCTCCTCCGTCAAAGCGGGGCTGTTCTCCATCATCATGGAGTTCCTGCTGGATAGCAACTGGAACAGAGAAAAGACAAAGAGTACTGTTTTTGTGTAGCAAAGAGGCAAGATAATGTTTTGTGCTGTTAAATAGAGAAGCGATCTCCATCTTGTGACCCTACTGAGTGCAGCTGTCAGCATAATGCGTGAAATGTTCTATTTGAGAACAATGCGCAAGTGCCATCAACTGCCCCACATGTGATGGCACTGGGTGATAGCTGTGATGGTGTCACTGTAACCACTGCAATCCTCACCTCGTCCAGCCTTAGGACCCGCGGCCCCGACCGGCACCAGCGGCTCTGCTGGGGGAGCCACTGCTTCCAGAAGGCTGACATCAGCTGTTGGGCCAGGGCCTCAGCAGAGCAGGGGATTGTGGGTATCAAAGAGGATCTGTATGGGAGAGCAGACGTGAAAACTGTCACTACTGTTTTCATTGTTCAGACCACTCATGGACTAACACATCCATGTCTGCTAATTTTCATATATTCTGTGAACTCCAGAATTATTGGCAATCCCAAAGAATGGGGGTAAGAACAATAAGATAAAATATATAAGAATAAGAACAATGCATACAAGAATCAAAATTTACTTCAAAATGTGTAGAAAATTGCTTATAAAAATACATTGCATTCAGAAAGTATTCAGAGCCACATTTTTTATGTTGCAGTCTTTTCCTAAATTCATTTAGATTCTATTTTCCTCTCATCGGTCTACATACAACACTACACAATGTATTAAAAAATAAAATGAAACATCACAACAACAGTATTCAGACCCTTAACTCAGCACTTAGCTGAAACACCATTTGCAGTGATTACAGCCTTAAATCTTCTTGGGTACGACATGACAAGCTTTGCAGACCTGGGTTTGGGGATTTTCTGCTACTCTCCTCTGCAGATCCTCTCCAGCTCTGTCATTTTGGATGGGGTCTGTCAGTGGGCAGCTTGTTTCATGTCTCTCCATAGATATTTGATTGGGTTCAAGTCCAGACTGAGCTGGGCCACTCTAGGACATTAAGCCACTCCTGCATTGTCTTAGGGTCATTGTCCTGTTGGAAGGTAAACCTTCAGCCCAGTCTGAGGGTTTAGAGCGCTCTGCAGCAGCTTCATTTCCATTCAACTTTCCCTCGACCCTGACTTGTCTCCCAGTCCCTGCCACTGACAAACACCCCACAGCATGATGCTGTGACCACCGTGTTTCATTGAAACCAGACATTTTAATCTTGGTTTCATCAGACCACAGAATCGTGTTTCTCACAGTCTGAACGTTCTTTAGATGCCTTTTTACAAACTGCACATGGGATTTCATGTGTCTTTTACTGAGGCTTTTCCTGAGCCCACATTGGTGTTGCAGTGATGGTCGTCCTTCTGGAAGTTTCTCCCATCTCCACACCGGTTCTCCACCAGGGCAGTGGTGGCTTCATGGTTAGGGAAGCGCACTTGTAATTAATTGAAAGATTGCAGGTTCGAATCCCTGATCAGGGAGGTACTCTGAGCAAGGTACCGCCCCCAAGCACTGCTCCACGGGCGCTGAATTAGCTGCCCCCTGCTATGTTAAGTTGTCACATATGGGTTAAATGCAGAGGACACATTTCGATGTTGTTCACTGTGTGCTGTGGTGTGTAAACACTGATCACTAAATTCTAATTTTAAATTCAGCTGTATAAGAGCCCTCATTGGGTTCTTGTCGCCTCTTACCAAGGCCCTTCTCCTAACTGTTCAGTTTGGCCAGGTGGCCAGCATTAGAATGGGTCTTGGTTGTTCCAAACTTCTTCTATTTAAGTATGATAGTGGCCACTGTGCTCTTAGGAACCTCCAGTGCTGTGCCTTCCCCAGATCTGTGCCTCAATACAATCCTGTCTCTGCTTTGTGCAGGATTTTTTATCTCAGTGGCTTGGATTTTTGCAATGATATACTTTGTCAGCTACAGCACCATTATATAGACAGTTGGGTGCCTTTCAAAATTATGTCCAATCAATTGAATTAACCTTTGGTGAAATCCAAAGAATGTGCAGAAACATTTCAAAGAGGATCAATAGATATGGGTCAAAGTGTCACAGCAAGGGGTCTGAAAACTTTCTGAAAGCACTGTAATTCCTTCAAGAACGTTACATCATATTCACAACTGAGAAATCTTTCAAGAACATATGGAGCTTACATTTAAATTATTAGCATCGCAGAAGAATTTCTATAATAATATCAAAGTATTATGACATCACACACATGCAAAATCCCGTTGTCATTCATCAACATGGGTAAATCCAAAGAGCATTCATCTTAAATGAGATTAAAGGGTATTAGCCTTTACAAATTAGCTATAGACAGATTAAGACAGCTATAGAAAGATGAGGAAATGTAAAAAAAAAATACCATCAAGCTCAATCAGGGCAATTATTATATTAATAATAAGCATGAACAGTAATCGTCAAGCTGTCTGTATATGGACAAATGTGTCCATGACAAGACTTGTCTCTATCAATGATAACATGTTTAGAATGAGAAAAAAAAACTATGTAGGGTATGTTTATAAATAGCATGTCTGTGGTAAAAATAACATTTTACTCAAAATGTCCATCAGAGTTCACCATGGCATTGACCCCTGAGCAGGACATGAAAAGGATGCATGAGCATACTGCCCCCTGCAGGCAAAGGAAGACTGGTGGTGAGAGGGGTGAAAAGGAAACATCACAGTTTCTCAATTGCATGGTTTGCTTGAATCTTGGAGCTTTATTATTTCAAAATCGTCAGTCAAATGCCACGTGCAGGACCAGAAGATTCTTGAAAAGGTTTTTTGAAAAAGACATTTCTGAGACAGTGCCATAAAATGCAGCACCTGAAGTTCGCCAAATATCACTGCATTTACAACTGGAATCGTGTGTTTAGCATTTAAGGAAAAGTACCTGGTACCCACTGCCAGGCTGCCAGTGGCCCAGACACCCTTGTGAAGATCAACTGCATCATGAATTCCACAAAAAACCCAAGATGCCTATGCCAGGAGATGGAAATCTGGCTGTAGATTGACCTTTTTAACATGGTAATACCCCGAAGTACACAATCAACACAGAAATGTTTACATGAACACAGAATTAGGGTTTTGCACTGGAGTCATACTGTAGGCTCTCCATCTTAGTTTAAAGTTAAATTTGCCAGTATTTATTTCCATTATAAATGGTATTACTAAATAATTGACTTTGAAAAAACTAAACTGTGTTAAAGAAAAACAAAAGGCTTGCACTGTTGTTTAAGGGCAAAATATTGTATTTGTGGTTCATCTTATACTTTAATCATCTTCAGGAGGGTTGCCAATAATTCTGGAGTTGACTGTATGTAATGAAAGTATTTCTTTGTTTATCCCAGCAATGATGACAGAACATCAGTGAAGACAAACAAACGATGTAAGACAAAGAGCAAAATCACCAAGAGTTCCATAAGAGGAAATGCGAAGAGCTCTCTGTTATGCAGGCTACACTGAGTTCTGTTTCTGTGTAGGATAATAGTCAATCCTGTGTACTCTATGGGGGGGGGGGGGGCACTCTTACTTCAGTGGGGAAGAGTCAGCACTTCCAGTGGCAGATATTTGGTCAGTCCCACAGCCTGCATCACAAAGTGAGAAGTATGATTCATCATCATCATCATCATCATCATCATCATTACCACAACCAATTTACATAATAGTCTGAATGGACAAATACAAAGAGTCTTTCTACTACAGCAGGGACTTGAACCAGCCCTTCAATCTTACAGCACCTTGCTCTGAACCACTAAGCTACCTGTAGATGTTAGTATGGTGAGACTCAGCCTCATGGCGCCCTGTTAACTACAGCCACATGTGGTCAGAAGACCAGCAGGAGAAGTAACATTAAGCCGCACCTAAGAAAGACGAAGGAGATCAAAAACTCTCATATCCAAGCCAAACAGCTAGAAGTTAGCAACTCAGGCTAATTATGTGAGTTGGGCGTTTGTGTCAACTGGCCCAGTAATGATGTCACTCTGAGGTTAATTTGCTTTCATGCTTGGCCTCGTAACAGTCACCTGGGTCACATGCCTGGTCTCCAGGGGGTTTTGCCTGGGTGAAGATGGGGCTTGAGTCCACGGGCTGGATGTCTAGGTAACGACAGAGCAGCAGAGAGCTTCAGCAAATCCCTCTGGATCACATAACGCTGTCAGGGCAGGATGGAGGCGGCAGGTGTCGGCTGACCTGCGGTGGGTGCAGAGAGCGCAGCACTGGCCCTGTGCCTGGGCTTGCGCTGGCCGCGCCTCCCTGCCAGCCGGGGCCCCCTCTGTGTCTGAGATGCCCACACAGCCTCCTCCAGCACCTCCAGTACCATGTCCACCACGATGAAGTGGGCGTTCTCCTGCAGGGTGCAGGCATGCACAGAAAAGCGTGACAAATGCATCATTTAGATCATGTTTATTTATATCAAACAGAAGCACAGGTGACTACAAACATCATAAAGAATAAAGAGGCTCCAGCAGGCAGGAAGACCATAGAGACACAGACACAGGCATTCTCTCCTGTGCTGCAGCTTCAGCTTTCTACAGTATGTTATGTTTGTTGCCGGTCAGTTCCTGCCCCTGTCTCACCTTATCCAGGTCTCTGCTGACCCTGTGGATCTGCTCTGAAGCATGTGCACCTCTGTGAGGTGCTTCTGTGGGTCCTGAAACATAGTGTGAGAGAGGTGAGAGGTAATACATTTAAAGGCATTAGAGTGAAAAATTATACAGTGCAAGGCATTACAGTGGAAAAATCAGACAGTGAAAGGCATTACAGTGAAGAATTATACAGTAAAAGACATTAAGGTGACAGGCATTACAGTGAAAATCACAGTGAAAGGTATTACAGTAAAAGATAATAGTGGAAGGCATTACAGTGAAAATCATTAGAGTAAAAGGCATTATAGTTAAAAGTATTACAGTAAAAGGTATTGCAGTAAAAGGTAATGTGGTGAAAGGCATCACAGTGAAAGATATTACAGTGAAAGGTATTATGGTGAAAGATAATACAGCAAAATGTAATACAGTAAACGATAGTAAACTGTAGTAAATACAGTGAATGGTATTACAATAAAAAGCATTACAGTGGAAGGCATTACAGTGAAAGAAAATACAGTGAAACATAATACAGTGAAAGGTATTGAGTGAAAATATATAAAGTGAAGGGTATTACGGTAAAAGATATAACAATTAATGGTAATACAATAAAAAAAAATACTGTAAAAGGTAATGCAGTGAAAAGTACAGTATCGCAGGGAAAGGCATTACAGTGAATTGTAATACAGTGTCTATTTCTCACTCCATTAATTAGCCAAACAACTTAAAATCATGTTTTTCATGTATATATACAGATGTAAGGATGGCAGGGGAACTGAACACTTTGCTGAAACAAGGAGTGAGCGATGCACAGGAGAGAGATGCACTTACTGTGAATAATCTTTGAAGCTCCAGAAGAAATTTAGTTTCTGGAGTTGAGTCATTTATTTAGAAGTACAGTATGAGGTATAGAATAATTAGGATAGTGTTAAACAATTGTAAAACAATAAATATAACTGTTAAGGGTGTATGAGTGTGATTACAGGATACAGGATACATCTTAAATAATGAGTGCAGCTAAATCATCACACAGTAAGTAAGTAAGTAAGTAAGTTTAATTTATATAGCACATTTAAACAGTGAAAACTGACCAAAGTGCTGTACAATGTCAAACTAAAACTGCAACTAAATTTAAATAAAGACAGCAAGCATAAAATGCTAAAAGCATTACAGTAAACACAAACAAGAACTACCTGCATAGAAAGACATGGACACAGTGCAACATGATAGCATGACACAATGACACAGGCAAGATATTCAGCAGAACGGTGGCAGTGGGTGCGGCTGAACCCTCACTTTTGGGGGTCTTTGGCACGGCTGTGGTATTGGATGTGGCTAAACCCTCACTTTTGGGCGTCTTCGGCACGGCTGTGGTACTGGGTGCGGCTAAACCCTCACTTTTGGGGGTCTTCGATACGGCTGTGGTATTGGATGTGGCTAAACTCTCACTTTTGGGCGTCTTCGGCACGGCTGTGGTACTGGGTGCGGCTAAACCCTCATTTTTGGGGGTCTTTGGCACGGCTGTGGTACTGGGTGTGGCTAAACCCTCCCCAAGGAGAGTATTGGCCACAGCTGAGATATGGATAATCACTCTGGCAGGGCACAGCTGAGACAGTGGGCATGGATCCAAGCTATTCTTCTGCTGCACCAGTGGGTTTTCTCATGAAGCTCATAGCTCCATAGTGAAGAAGAGCTGACTGCAGAGTGGCCAAGTGTATAACTATCATAACTGTACTGATAACTGAAATGATTTAAAAAAGATTCTCAGCTCCGCTCTACAGCCTTGCCGATTGTTTTTACACAAGCACTTTCAGAGTTAAATTAATGGTATCATTTAGCCCATTCACACGGCTGGAGCCTTGAAAATTAAACAGTGAGTATTAAGAATATGAACAAAGTGTTGGTCTCACATAGGGCCCTAGTCTTCTTCCTGTGATCAAAGTACTTTACCAGAACTACCTTTAAACCAAGGACAATACAACACGTTAAGCTGTGCCAGTCACTTACCATACTTATCAAAGTTTACAGTGCAGCCAAACGCTACAGTAAACGTCCTTCCCTGGGGGGCACAATGCTGATTTGTCTCCTCATGCCACCTGCTGCCTGTTTATTTTTAAACAGAGAGACTCTCCCTCTAGGGATCCGAACACACAACCCTCTCCACGCCCCGTGCTGCTGCCGCTGCTGCGAATGGAAAACAGGTACCTGGTGTTGGGCTGGTGCTGGAGCTGGTGCAAGCCTTGGGTGTTCTGGGCTGGGTGCTGAGTGGATGCTGGAGCAAGGTGTTCAGGAATCGGTTCAGGCCAGATGAGAGCGAGGCGCAGTGGGGCTTCTCCCCAGCGCGGGAGGATCCGGGGAGCAGGACCGGGGGCATCCCTGTGTGAGCTTTCCAGCGCTGGAAGACCGGACTTCTCTGACGGTGGGGAACGCCCCTCCGATCCAGTTCAGCCCCAAAGGGGGGCGATTCCTCCCGCTTGGACCCACTGCAGCTGGAGCCCTCTGCAGCCAGCGTACTGCTGAGACTGAGATAGCTCTTTCTTATGAAGACCTCCTGCACAGGTCTCGTGGGAGAGAGCTGCGTGATGAGCACGTCAGGAACAGGACCATGGCCTAGAAGCAGAAATGCTGTAGAGAGTCCAATAAAATTAACTTGAGAGGAAAAAAGAAAGCAAAACAAAATAAGCAGCATATGTTGGTAAAAGCGAACTATATTTGGCTACAGTGCAGAGTACAGGGTGGAGGTGTGTGCGCTGGGCTGGTCATGTGACCACATGCAAACGCTCTGATAGGAGGACAGATAAAGCAGAAGGAAACTCGTCTGAGAAGACCACACAACCCACAGAAATGTCAAGTAACATCTCAGAACTTTTCTCTGTGCCCTTCCCGACATGAGAGATAGTAGCGCAAACTTCTGAAATCGTTATGGGAACCCCCCTGCCCCTCCCAGCTGGCCATGATGCTTTGACAGGAAGGAAAACTTTACCTGGGAATTTCCACTGAATATCAGAGAGACCAACTGGCTCTCCCACCGATTACAGTAACACTGTCAGTATTAATGCTATGGTAAGGAAAAGGTGAGAAGACGCTAAGGAGGGAGTAGCTACTGTTTTGTGCTCCTGAACTGCAGCGGATAGCAGAAGCTTAAGCTGGCCCAGTTTCTCAGAAACACATGGGCTGGACAGGCACTGGAAATGATGTCTGCATGCTTCAGAAACAACATAAAGTAAAACCACTGTGCTGATAACAGCAGCATCACACTAAGTTCAAGCTCATTTGCTCTTTAATTGTGACACAAAAAGCAAAGAAAGTTGCTAGGTTCTGGTCAAGACGACTGCAGAGGTGACAGAGAGTGACCTCACTCAGCATGCTGGTGCCACAGGGCTGTTATGGCCCTCTCCGGTTTCTCAAGGAGACGTGAGACACGTCCAGATGTAGCTGGGTTACCAGAACATGCACAGCAGTGACAGTGCATCTGCTCTGCTGGGACCAGGCAGGTGGGTGGAAGTCCCTTCTGCTTGATTACACACACACACACACACACACACACACACACACAGCCACTCTGCAGCCCCACCCTACTGACAGACTGTTGATAATATCATTTGCTTTGAGTTTCCTTGATAATTTGATGCCACATGAACCTCATGATCGCAGCTGTGTTGCGGAGGGTGTATGTAAAGGTGATGTAAATCTTAGTGAGATGAGTGAGAGTTTGATACCTGCCTGCACCTTCCTTTCCTACAATTCTTTCACATTCACTATAGCACAGAGCAGTAACCCACTAAACTAAGTGGGTTGTAATTATATCACCTGCAGTTCAGAGTAAGTAATGCACCTGAAGCTAACCAGATTTGGGCCTGCGCACTGCTTGGATGAGAGGCCAACTAGGAAAGCTGAGTTGTTGCAGGAAGAAGTGTTGGTGTGGCCATCAGGTTTTGTCATCCTGGAGTCTGGGTGTCTCCCAATGCCCCATCCTATCTTTCAAAAGAGCAGGGGTGGTACCCTGATGCCCTGGATAAACTGCCCACTGTGACTCTTTCAAATCTGGCCTCCTAATCATCCCTCATATTTATTTTGTGGATTTTCTCCTGCCTCATCACCACCTTAGCTACTGAGTGGGTAGCATACTGGTGCAGAATGTCTGCCGTTGCAGCATTCAGGTGTGTGCTCCCCATTGGTCCTGTCAGGTGTGTGCTCCCCATTGGTCCTGTCAGGTGTGTGCTCCCCATTGGTCCTGAAAAGTGCCATATAAATGGAACATTCATTCATTCCTAAACTGGTCCATCCCAACACTGAGATTCTGCTGCTCTACAAACTGAACCTGTTTATATGATCTAGTCTGGTATTGACTATCTACCTCCTAGTTCCACTGAACTCAATCCATAGAAATCTGTCCCCTTTGAAAGCTGGTTCATTTATTTTTTAGTATAATAACATGCAAGATTGCGTTTAGAAACCTCTTTCAGTCTGATAATATTCATTTTCTGTCTCTCTGTCTCTTACATTTGGAATTAATTTCAGTTCCTGGACTTGTTTCGTTCAGTTCCTCTTATTCAAAACTGACTCCTGGACTGTACTCAAATCAGGAGGCCAGTAGCTGGTTCACATTGAATTGGGATGTTATTCATAAAAGTCAAAAAGAAAAGTCTGTCTGACATTTACAGCCTTTGCAGACGTTTCCTTCACGACTTCCTGTCATGGAAACATTTCATATCATTTGTATCACGTGCACAAAAGCTATTCACTTCTAAAAGTCAGAACAAGGGTCCCGATATAATTCAGGATAGGGAGCTATACGCATGCGCAGATACGGCGACGAGTGAAGCGAGCGACGGCGTTTCTCCGGCTAAGCAGCTCGGCGTTTTCACGAGGTTGTTGTCTGACTAGTCTGAAGGACAGTGGGCTTCAGTAGTGAAAAAACATATACAAGGTAGAAATAAACCAGCAAACAAATAAATACGGTATTTAATATTTTATATACTTAGGCCTAGTATTAACGTTATGTTTAATGGAATTTAAGAAGAATATACACCGCTGAATCAACACTTACATCGAACCACAACGTTATTCACTGATATATTACTTCCGCTAAATTAATTCCGCCCTTCACGCAAGCCTTAAAATTAATCAGCTTTCCGCGATTCATTATATGAGCTTTTAATGAGGAAGTGGGAGCAAAAAGTTGTTTTTTTCTTTCTTGTTTTTCTGGTTTTGCTGCCACCTGGTATACTGAAGGCAATATAATATGAAATAACAAATAATATGAAGTAAAATAACAATATTAATTATATTACCTATAGCTATTATACAATAAACACCTACGGGGACGCCGATTAATTCCGCGCTTAAAATGGTATTTAAAATAAACATTTATGTTTTATTTCTTGTCAAAATGCGAAACAAATTACAAACTTAAGGGGAGCTTGGTGGAATTTTCGACAGTGAAGTTCATGCCAGGAATTAGGACAAGCAAAAATGGAAACGTAAATGGAAAATGCAGATTAAACTCACTATTTTGCAAACATTATTATATTGCAAAGTGTGGATGGTAACCTGGTTCTAAATATCTGCTGATGATCAGTTTCCAGGTCCGCGGTTTTCCCGCCCAATTGGGCTTTTTTGAAATACGGTTTCGGGTAAATATTAGGAGTTTGCGGGGTTTTTGGCTGCTTTCATAATTTTACGCAGCAGCGGTCTGCAAGGGGAAAAACTTAATAGTCACGAATGCAAGCAGCACTGAATCGCTGGCCACCGAAAGGCAGATGCTCACGCAAAGTAGGGCTGCCAGCTCTAACGCATCTGGCGGGACCCTCGCGCTTTCAGACTCACGCTCACGCAAGCAATCTTACGGAAATTTTTTATTCCATTATAAACCCCAAATTAACTACATCAAATGCGCTGGGGTAGTTTGCAGACCCTACAGACTATTTGCAAGGTATTACATACGTGCAAATGAGTGTATACTTGTCTTGAATTGAAAATCTTACTCCGGCCAAAGGCGTCCGTCTATGTTGTGTCTCACTGTGGTTTTAACATGTTAGACATTTGAATGTGATCAGCATGAAAAATACCGGTTTATTTCTTCAAGATACAGTACAATACACTCGGATTAAAAAAATTAGGCTAGTTTCAGTTTTTGCTGGGCGGATTTTAAGCAGGCCTTGGGCTAGAGATTTTTGCTGGACCTGGCAACACTGGCTGGGGTAGGCTAATTTAAAAGTTGCTGTGTCAAATTGAGATAGCTCCTTTCCAAGATCCAGGGAAACGTTTAAGGTTAATTGTTTCAGGAGCCAAGTCCTCCATGCTGCCAGTACGAAGGTCAGCCTGTTCTTTCTATTGTCATGAAAAAGACTGTCTTTCACGCCACACTTATCACTATCTATAAAGACGTCATTGGGTAACACATCCAGCAGGAACATGCACCCTTCCAAAAATGTTCTTTTCTGTCATCTAAATGAGCTCGTGCCATTTGAACGTGGTCATGAAGTCAGGGTGATGTGAAGCGTGCCCTCCTGAATTCTTAAAAAGTTTCACAGAAACTTACAATTTGACGCCATGGCTTCAGAAGCAGAACATTATGTACAGGGTTGCCAACTTTGGTCAGCTGGCTGGCATGAGATTTTCAATTCGAGACAAGTCTGCACTCACATTAACATGTAACAATTTAATTTCCTTGTAAATAGGCAGTGTTGGCTTGATGGTTAAGGAAGTGCACTTGTAATTGAAAGATTGAAGGTTCGAATCCCCAACCAGCAAGGCACCACTGAGGTACCCTGAGCAAGGTACCGCCCCCAAGCACTGCTCCCCGGGCGCTGAATTAGCTGCCTCCTGCTATGTCACGAAAGTCACATATGGGTTAAATGCAGAGGACACATTTCATTGTTGCGCACTGTGTGCTGTGGTGTGTTGACACTGATCTCTAAATTCTAAAAAATAGACTGTAGGGTTTGCAAACTGCTCCAACGCTTTTGATGGAATTAATAGAATAATACAGATTTGCCGTTAGATTTCTTGCGTGAGTTTAAGATTCCGAAAGCGGAAGTGTCACGCCAGATGCGTGAGAGTTGGCAACCCTGGTGTGTCAAAAGGGTAGCCAGCATCAATCGTGATTTATGTCAAGCAGTAAATACAAAAAAACTTCGCTAAATTGGCTCACAGTAAAAGCTAACAACATCACCGATATCCTCAGAAAATAATTTTGTATCTTTGTATTGGTTTGAACCATAGCAAAGTTTTAACTGCCTCATGATTGCGGCTAAATTGCTGCGTCATTTTTGTGAAGATGTTTTTTGAAGGCCTACCCTCCACTGCTCAATGAAAAACACAATGCGACATGCAATTCTTTGCATCGCCGCCAGGCGTCGCAAAACGCCCAGTTTCTACGTGCTTTAGCCTTGGCTGGGGTTCAGTGTTGTACAGTAATAGCGCAGCCGCAGAGGTCGGGAAAATCACTAGGAAAGGAAACTGGCTAACCGTTCAAGTCTCCATCGCAGAAAAAAGTGGATACAAAAACCGAGAAGCGCTTAATTCGTATTAAAGCCGAGGTGAAAATGGCGACGCTGGGACCGGACTCCCGTCCCCATCCCCAGCTCGCTTCTGGCTCGGTTCAGAGTAATTTGGGTTCCCAAAACAACATGCCCCTTAACAGGGGTTTGGAAAGGGCTTTTGAGGAGGCGGCCAACTCGGGCTTTTTAAACCTCAGCGCCAGAAAACTGAAAGAATTCCCGAGCAGCGCGGCGAACCACGACCTGACTGACACGGTGGAGGCAGGTAAAGCACCGCTATAAATGATCATATTCACATTCTCTCATTTTAAACCTGCGACGAGTGCAGAAAACATACAGTATAGTAACACCCGATACCCATCGGAACAAGTGTATATCGTAGTACATGGATCCTGATCATTTGTGCCCGTTATTTGCAGTCTGCAAATAAGTTGGTTTGGCTGCGGGAACTCAGACGCCGTGTGATGGACGGTAAACGGCGGGCTGGTGGGAGATGTGGGACGGTCACTGATCACATTCCTGCTCTTTGAAGCAAAGCCGGCTTTTCTGGCCCACATGCTAGCTTTCCGTATTAGGTTAAAAACGCATGATGCTTATTTTTTACAATACAATTAAATATCTATATTAAATTTTTAAATACATTTTATAAATACATGATATGTGGCACAGGTCTTAGTTTCTGGCACAGAAAAAACTGAACGAAAGATAGTTACGACATGTTTATTCTTTTTGACTGTGTTTTATGTATGTATACGTATGCCTACATTGCCGTATATTTTTGTAACGTTTTTCGTTTCTAATCGATGAGCTAAAGGAATATTAATGGTTACTGTTTACTCAGGTGTCGTGTCTTTTGATTTTGACGGAAAGGTATAACCGCTACTAGGGCTTCGTTACGGGGCAGCTTCCGCAATTATGGGCTGAGCACCTGAGGAAGGTGACCATGGCGCGAAGTGCATGCTGTTGCCGTGAAAATCTGTCTGTCACTCAAAAGTTATATTTTTTGGCGCCTTCAGTAGGTTTTGTTCCATGTGCACTGGGTTGTACACATGGGCATTTATTTGCAAAGCGACTCAAAATAGTTTTTGAACCCACACCCCTCTGGTGTCAAAGTGTGCTGGTGCTGTTCGAGATCACAAACGCATTTCGTCACATCAATCTTCAAGTCTAGGTTAATCCCCCCAAAAGCACCTTGCTTATTGTCATTAGGCGGAAAGCAAAGTCAGGGCTGCCTTTTTATATTGTTTATTTACTCAATGAGTCATTAATTCCTATCAGCTTACACAGCCATTGACTAGATATACACTGAAGAATTGTACAGCGAGCGTTCAACTGCAAAGCACGTGTAGTCTTCAGTCTTTAAGGGGCCAGCTCTGTGACGGGCAGCAGTGTGGGAGTTGGGTAAGCAGATACCGTGGTTTGGGCTGTTTAGCCGTACATGGTGTTGTGCTGGAAGACAGAGGTGTGGCCCTGTTTAGTGTCCATGCTGCAGTGTGCTGATAAAGGACAAACTCATGTTTGAGCTTGTGGGGAGAAATCTGGTGTGGCCTTGGTGTCGTGTTCAGGAACTGTCTGCTTTTACTCCTGCTCTTGGTGTGGTCGTTTTAGTGTATGATCTAAAATGTTAGTGTTAACAATAAATGTTTGTGTCATGCCCCTTTAACTCTCATTGTGGATCAGCCTGATGACCTGGGTTCATTGGCTTGTGTGGGGAACTGCACAGGAGTAACTGGGACCTCCACAGCTCTGAAAGTAGCCTCAGCTGGGCTGCAGGGTTTGGTAGTGACTGCTTTTCTGTGCTTGTCAGAGTGTCCTAGTGGTTTAAGGCACCAAACTCAAGGTTTAATGCCTTAGCTATAAGAATGGGTGTTCTTGTCTCTGAAGAGCATGGGTTCAAATCCCACTTCTGACAATCACTTTGGGGTAGTTTGTGGGTTAGAATGCCGTGTCTGTGATGTCACCAGTTCAAATACCTTGGTTGTCAGAGTGATGTCATCATTGTTCCTTGAGCAGGCTCCTTGACCGCAATTGCTCCAGGTACTGGTTGACTCTGCTGTCTCAGTTGCATGTAACTTTGAATAAAAGCATCTACTAAATTAATAAATATAAATGATCGTCTGCGTGCAACTAATTAGTCCTGTAGCTCGACTCAAACCTTTTAGCTTTCGGGAACTGCAGCTTTTTCAAAGAACAAAAAACAGGTAGAGACTTGTTACAGGAAATCAGATGAGGTCAGTATCTTGGTGGTTACAGAACTGCCCCCTGCCCCCCACCTGCATACAGCTTCACTTCAGCAGGAGCGGGCAAGGAATATTTCGACAACATTGGCTTTGGTGCTGCGGAAACGTGGTACTAGTATAAGTAGGCAGTGGGGCCGCGCTAGATGCAGGTCAGATCCCGCATGTGGCTTCCTGCCATTCTCAGCCAAAGTGCTGATTCTTCCTGTTGCTCTGGACTGCGACCATAATGCACTCATTTTGTGTTGGGTTAGGGTTCTTATGCAGAGCCCTGTATTAGCCAAAATTGCCTGTTGTCTGTGGGAGGGCAGGGTCCGTGTTCATCATGTCTCAGGCCTCTGGGTGACAGCCTGTACTGTTTGATCTTACCTGTTAGAAATGGTGTCTGGGTTGCGGATAATCTCATCTTTGAGATGATTATGGCTGACGGCTGTGTTAAGAGCTTCAAGCGGAGAGTGCCATTACTAATCAGGCTTTCTGCACAATGGAGGAAATATCAGTTGTGTGTGTAGGTGTTTGTGCTAGTGTATGTGTGCATATATGTGCATGTATACATATGCATGTTTCACTGGTGTCTGTGACTGTGCATTTCACTACTGGTGTGTGACTCTGACTATGCGTGTTTCACTGGTGTGTGTGTGTGTATGTATGTGTGTTCCACTGGTGTGTGTGTGTATGTGTGTATTTCACTGGTGTGTGTGTTTTGTGTGTTTTTCCGTGTTGTGTGTGTGTGTTTTTCACTGGTGTGTGTGTGTGTATGTATGTGTGTTCCACTGGTGTGTGTGTGTATGTGTGTATTTCACTGGTGTGTGTGTTTTGTGTGTTTTTCCGTGTTGTGTGTGTGTGTTTTTCACTGGTGTGTGTGTGTGTGTACGTGTGTGTGTTTCACTGGTGTGTGAGTGGGTGTGCATGCCTTCTCCCCCATCCAGGTCTTCATCAGACCCCAGACCCTTCCTTCCTCATGCTCACATCTCCTGATGGCCTGTTGCCAGGATACCATCCCATCCCAACCTCTTACTCTGCATCTTGGCTCTGTAAAGGACTGCCAAACTGGTTTTGGGAGTCAGAGGTCAGGGGACAGTGGATTGAAGGTGGGGTGGGGCTACCTTAGGGCAGGGGCAAACAAGACCTGAGATATAAGACCCATGAATCCGTGAGGGTCTCATATCAGTGAAAGGAAACTTCTCCCATTAAGAAATTAACTAGGAAGCTTTGTCAGCTCTGCAGGGGGGATAATGTGCTCTGAGATACCTACCCTGTGCTCTGTTTCCATAGCAATGGCGTAAACATAACTTTGAGGCCGCTGTTTCATTGGATGGCAATGATATCACTCCCAGAATGCTGCAGAGGCAGCACAGATGGGGAGATGATCATGTGGTGCCAGGTTAGATTTTGCAACATTGCGTGAGAGGAGAGTATGGAGAGTATACCTGCACTTTAGCTGCTTTGTGCTCTGATAAATGATGCAGTTTGTTTCCCTGTGGTTGTGGATGATGTCTGACTCGTGCACAGATGTGAGGGAATCTAATAGCGTCATTCTCACACATGGTCCAGAGCCCACAGTGTCAGTGTCATGGTGCATGGCGACTAGCCATGACAAAACATGAGATGCCCCCTGGACTTTACAGGCATGGCATCAACACAGCACAGCCAGTGGTTATGGGGTATTCAGTGATCCAGCTCAGCTCTGTGCTAGAGCAACACCGTGCTGATTTCTTATTAACTTAGCAGAGGGGCATGAGAGTGAGGTACGCTGGCAAGGGGCATGAGGGCATGAGAGTGATGTACGCTGGCNGTACGCTGGCAAGGGGCATGAGGGCATGAGAGTGATGTACGCTGGCGAGGGGCATGAGAGCGAGGTACGCTGGCGAGGGGCATGAGAGCATGAGAGTGAGATACGCTGGCAAGGGGCATGAGGGCATGAGAGTGATGTACGCTGGCGAGGGGCATAAGAGCGAGGTACGCTGGCGAGGGGCATGAGAGCATGAGAGTGATGTACGCTGGTGAGGGGCATGAGAGCGAGGTGCGCTGGCAGGGGGCATGAGAGTGAGGTACGCTGGCGAGGGGCATGAGGGCATGAGAGTGATGTACGCTGGCGAGGGGCATGAGAGCGAGGTACGCTGGCGAGGGGCATGAGAGCGAGGTACGCTGGCGAGGGGCATGAGAGCGAGGTACGCTGGCGGGCAGAGTGTGAGTGTGGTGCACTGGGGGGCAGAGTGTGAGTGTGGTGCACTGGGGGGCAGAGTGTGAGTGTGGTGCACTGGGAGGCANGCTGGGGGGCAGAGTGTGAGTGTGGTGCACTGGGGGGCAGAGTGTGAGTGTGGTGCACTGGGGGGCAGAGTGTGAGTGTGGTGCACTGGGAGGCAGAGTGTGAGTGAGGTATGCTGGGGGGCAGAGTGTGAGTGTGGTGCACTGGGGGGCAGAGTGTGAGTGTGGTGCACTGGGGGTATGTGAGAATGAGGTACGCTACGCGGACATGTGCTGTATGCAACAGGGGTGTGAGAGTGAGGTATGCTGGGGGGATGTGAGTTTTACGCTGGAGGGTGTGTGAGAGTGAGGTACACTGTGGGGATGTGAACAGTACTCTGGGGGGGTGTTAAGGCTGGTTCTTACTTTTGTGCACAAGTTCAACACTTGTGTATCCACTCTGCGTATATGTACAAGGAAACGTTCATAGTTTTCCGGTCAAGCCGCGTACTTTACACAAAATACAGCGCGTTGTATTTTTATTTCTATTAATGATATACAATATAATTGTGATATTCCCTGCGCACGTACCACAGCAGTGAGGTTTGTGTCCGTTTCTCTATGTTCTACAAATTCAGAGAGCCAGCTCATAGGGTTGCCAACTGTGGTCAGCTGGCCAGCATAAGATTTTCAATTAGAGTGCACTCACATACACACTCTTTTACATGTATGTAACAGTTTTATTACCTTGTAAATAGTCAATAGGGTTTGCAAAGTACCCCAAAGCCCATCAAAAGCATCCATGTTGGTATTTAGAGGGGATGCTAGTGAATCGATTATGCGCAGTGTGTGCAGAGATGCGTGTACACAGATTTGGAGTGCAGCAGGCGTTCGTCTGCGGAAGTGCACAGTGACGTCAAATTTGTCAAAAACGTTCGAGTAGACACGTCCGCTAATGTGTGTGCAGAGAAGTATGAACCACCTTTTAAGCCTGGGCAATTAATCAAAAATTAATTAAAACTGACACTCAGAACCTCTAATTGGTGTAATCTTGCCCATGTCGTTTCGTTTTTTTTTTTATTCTGTTAATGCTTAATAAAAACTGTTAATACTTGCCCCAGTGTGTGTTCATATACTGTCCCCTTAAAAACATACTACAGTATGTGTGTTGTCACTTGACTCCAGTCTGTGACATGGAAGCAAAATGGAGGAGAACTCAAACACCAAGCCAACTGAGCAACTTGAGTAGCTTGTACCAAAGAAAAATGCCATGTCCGTCGTTTGGCACTGAACAAAAACCAGACAAATGTAAACACTGCAGAAAAACAGTTTCAGCTACCAAAGGCAATACCACCAATCGGTTTCAGCATTAACAATATTTACAGTGGAAACCGCTTATAGTGATCAACCGCTTATATAGATCAAAAAGCTGTAGGACACAGTCATTCCTGTACAAATACTGTTTAACTAATTTGCTTATAGTAATCAAGTAGTCTGCTTACGGTGTTCCTTCTGGGTCTTCTTATACATAACGACATATGGAAAGATCGTGATTAAATCACGATGATTCTTCCTTTTTTTACTTGCCTACTTTGGCTTGCAGTAACCCGTCTGCTTCTGGCTGTCTACCTGAGGCTAATGTTGCAAGACAGGAAAAAGTAAGTCATTTTCTGTTGATGACAAATGACTTATCAAAATTTATGATTAACAGCCAAAAAATAGCCGAGATGCAGCAGCGAAACTACAATAAGCTATTTTTTATGTACAGTACTGTACTGTATTGCGGCGTATTTGATTATACACAGTTCAGTAATTTAATTTGTACAGTACTGTAATTTGAAAAGTGCTTGAAACAGCTGTACTGTATTTTGAAAGTCAATAAAGTTCTGTAAATAGCAACGCTGTCCGTTTTATTACCTTATATTCTTGTAATAAATATACAAATGTCACTTAGATGGTAATTTCCCTGAGACATAAGAAAAAGAAATTGGTTATAATGATCATTGGCTTGTTGTGATCAATTTCACCCAGACAGATGTGATCACTATAAGCGTCTTCCACTGTAACTAATTTTGTTTGCAAGAAATGCAAACTATTTATTTTCAACTTTTTAGAGAACTAAAAGTAAAATGTGACCTTTTTCATAAGATGTTTTCATTTCAAGCGATTTGTGCTTTGATTTCAGTTGTTCAAAATATTCAATAAATAACCATAAATGGTTTATCAGTGTGTTTACTTGAATTATATTAAAATCACAGATATGCAGTCTTTCATTAGAAAAAATATCCCAGCTTTAGTTGTTCAGTATATTTACAGTACAAACCTCATCAGTGAAATATGAGGGCAAAAAAAAAAAAATCATTAATCGTAATTAGTGCTGCCAACTATTTCTCTATACTGTAGATTGACTATTTTATTGATTGGTCGATTAATCTAAACGATTAATTTTCCTCCAGAAAATCGATTTGACCAATTAAATTTATTTTATTTTGATGACAACAAACTGTATGCTATTGCAGGATTTAAATAATGTATAATTCACCTACAATTCGATAAGCAGATTAGTAGTGTACCTAAAAATATTAAAGGGCTATGTATCGTGATGCCCAAAAGTTAGTAATCTGTAAATATTTTGCGTGTCCTCATGCTTTAGAAATTAAGTTAGCGGAGCACGGCACCTGCGACACAAGTGATAAGCACTGAAGTCGCGATGAAGGAAGGGACAGATTAGCAGTCACATCTTTTAAAACAGGGGATACTGTGGTTAAACAAGGTAAAAAGATGTTGGTGGTTGGCGGTACTTTTTGCAGATTTAAGTTTTCATTTTTATTTCAGGTCACAAATTATTTTCTTTTATTTAGTGTCTGTTTTCATTTGTTTTAGTGTATGGTAACTGGACTGTTTTAATGTAAAAAGCAAATTCTCTAAAAAGTAGAAAATAAATAGTTTGCATTTATTGCAAACAAAATAAATTACACATTGGCACCATCAATCAACACCGAATAAACCCAGATTAACCATAACATTTTCACAAACACTTGTTCAATGGAGAATCTAATGTAACAGGCAGACAACTTTATGGCTTTAATAATGCGTTGATTTAGCAGATATTATTTATCTGCTTTTATTTCAGAGTCGACATCGTCAACTAATCCCGGCAGCTCTAATCATAATTGAGGCAAAATGTGCAGTTAATCGTGATATTGATTTGAGGTCATATTGCCCAGCCCTAGGGTGTGTGAGAGTGAGATTTGCAGGGGTGTGAGTGAGTTATGCTGTGACGTGATGTTAGGGTGAGGTGTGCTGGGGGTGGTGTGCGAGTGAGGCACACTGTGGGAACTTGACCTATACACTGTGAGAGTGAGGCACATATACAAAAGGACGTTTGAAAGAAATAATACGATTATTAAAGTCACAGTGTAATTTACATAATTTTATTTAGAAGACAAGTTTGTCCAAGGCAACCTACAAATGAGGATCGTAGGGATTAATGGTCTTGCTTAAGGGCGAAATGGTAACTCTGGCAGCCATTGGATTTGAATCAGCAACCTTATTCTTACAAACACAGATCCACATAGAGCCATACACAGACCTGAAAGAACAGGCCGGTGAACACAGCCCAGGCTCCAGCTGAGGGGGTGGTATAGCTGCATGGAGCCCCCAGCTCCACCTGCAGGACGTTCAGGAGGGTGGAGAGAGGAGGAATGTGGAAATGGGCCGGGAGAGGAGATGGGAGGAGAGAGGAAGGAAGCGGGAATGAGAGGATGTCTCAGTCATATACACACATGCAGGCTTGAATGCATTCTCTCACACACAAGGTGCTGAATTTCTGCCACGGTCGGCACAGGGTGAGGTGGGGTGGGGTGGGAGGGGGGGGTCCGAGAGGAAATGGCTCACATGGCTGTGCTTCACACAATGAGCCTGGGAGGAGACACTTCCTGCTTGTGAGCTGGGAGCAGATCTGTGCCCCCATAACCCCCCCGGAGCATTTGCATTCGCCTGACAGTCAGCGTGCCCTACTGTACCAGGCAGCACCGCTGCATAGAGGTGTCAACTGCAATAATCCAGCTCCCAGCCACTGGTCAGGGTCGCAGAGGCCTGGAGCCCGTCCCCGGAAGCACAGGGCGCACAGGGGCCTGGAGCCCGTCCCCGGCAGCACAGGGCGCACAGGGGCCTGGAGCCCGTCCCCGGCAGCACAGGGCGCACAGGGGNGCCTGGAGCCCGTCCCCGGCAGCACAGGGCGCACAGGGGCCTGGAGCCCGTCCCCGGCAGCACAGGGCGCACAGGGGCCTGGAGCCCGTCCCCGGAAGCACAGGGCACACAGGGGCCTGGAGCCCATCCCCGGCAGCACAGGGCACAGAGGGGCCTGGAGTCCGTCCCCGGAAGCACAGGGCGCACAGGGGCCTGGAGCCCGTCCCCGGCAGCACAGGGCGCACAGGGGCCTGGAGCCCGTCCCCCCGGCAGCACAGGGCGCACAGGGGCCTGGAGCCCGTCCCCCCGGCAGCACAGGGCGCACAGGGGCCTGGAGCCCGTCCCCGGCAGCACAGGGCACAGTGATAGGGATGTCAGTGCATCATAGGGCAAATACATGCACATGATAAAGGATGGAACATGCGAGCTTCACATGCACACAGTTTGAACCCCCAACCCTGGAGGCATAAGGCCGTCATGCTTCCCACAAATAATAATAATAAATAATCTGCCATACTGTCGTACCCAGCACCAGTTGAGGTTACTGTCTGCAGGAAGCTGCTGTTGGCTCGGAGTGAACCCACTCCAAACTGGCGCTCTTGTTCCTTCTCACCCTGGCCGCAGGGTCCGAACAGGACAGCCTGGGAGTAGATGAGGCAGGCCGGATTCTGAGAGTCTCCCGGTAAAAACAGGAGCAGTGTGGCTCAGGTGGTATGCTGGGCTCTCACACTGATGCGCGCCGAGTGAACTATTGCCAACTTCGTAAGCCGGGAGAGCGGAACAAACACTGTTGATTAAAAAAGAGACGAAAGCCTATTTATAAATATAACAACATATACAGTGGAAATGGAATCAGACTCCTGCACGACTAAAAGAAGAGGCCACCCAACGTGATGGACAGCCGACACGCACATGTTGAGGCCGCCAACGAGCATGGATACGCACACAGGCACGGCCAGGCTCACCTTCTGCAGTCCGTCAGGCCTTCCTGTTCATTAGTGGTTTGGTGATGTCGCCATCCTGGCGCTCTGACAGATGTGGAGCTAAGGTCAGAACATCAGCCGCCTGCGAATGAGGCGAGCCAGCTGTGCGGTTCCGCTCGGGTCCGCCTAGGGATCGGTCAGTATGGAGGACGCCATCTTCAATTAGCTTGTCGCTGTTTGACATAGGAAACAAAAACACTCCAATGTGCGCGCACACACATACATACGCACACACACGCACACACATACATACGCGCACACACGCACACACACACACTCGCATACGCTCAGACTAACATCGGCTTGTCTCCTCTCTCTGAAATCCTGCCCATTCATGGCGAGCACTGTGTGTTGTTAAGATGAATGCTTCCGAAATCGGTAGCTTCTCTCGCACATGGGTCCTGCTAGGTAGGTCAGCACAGGCAAACATCAGGGATCAGGAGCCTGGGTATTTCTGGGTTTGGCCTATTTTACTTCCCGGGGTCAGACAACCAGGACGTTACCCATGTGTGTCTGGGAGAGATGGAGCGCAGAGTGAGGAGTGAAGGAGGCGCAATCTGCCACCAGTCGGCCTCTTGGGGGAGGCAGGAGGTCTGATGTTGGGCACATACTTTGTGTATTTAGGGTTTGTATAGTTCATCTCATTGCAGCTCTGTGAATGTGTGTGTGTTTTCATGGGAGTATGACTCAGATAAGCAGATAAAGAGCCATTTATTACATAACCAGAGCTGTCCGAGGGGTTTAAGTGGAAGCAGCAGCTTGGGCTCATGGTGGGAAGCTGAGCTGAAGGGGCATGACATCCCCAAGGTCCTTATGGAGCACGAGAGCTTTTGTCCATATCCCACAATCCCCTGGTGAATGTACACACGCACACATGGACTCACATGGAGCAAGCACACCAAGCAAGCCTTTAATGAGACATCAAGTTCACAAACAGGCTTGTTTAAATTCTTGTGGGAACAGGTCTCCATTTTCATCGCTTGTATGTGGGACACACACACAGAAACAGACCCAGTTATACAGCCTCTGGTACTATATGTGCCTCACCTGGGGCTGTGCAGGCCTCACATCAACCTACTTTCAGTCTAGGGTTTGCTGAGTTTCACCATCTTACAGCAAGCTCTTCCCCAGCAACCACCTCTTTTTTAAAGTGACCACTAACCACACCCCTGAATTAGAGCTGCACCCCTTCTGTTTATCATTTACTGTTTTATAGTTTTTCTCAGTCACTTTGGTACATTTCTCAAATCATCTTAAACATGTGCAAAACATTAAAGGCATTTCTCGAAAAAATTCATACAAACAGCACAATGGATTACCTGAAAAAGCCTGTAACTCTCAAAATCCTTAGTTTATCCTCAAAAATAAATATTTGTCAATGAACTTGTTAGTGCCACCAGAATGACAAGTCCTAGTGCCATTGTTTGAACAAGATGGTCAAAATGGTTAGCCACGTTGTCAATGTATCAGTGCACTCGAAGTATATTCTGATGTAAACTACAGCTAAGGGTTTGATGGCATTGACCGAAAATGCACAAAGTTGTACTTTTTCTGTATGGCATTTATCAATTTCAACAGTACAAAGTTAAATGTACTGTAACACACAAACACATACACATATGTATACATATATGCAGTGTGTGTGTGTATCAGTGTTTCTCCTACCATTATATTATGGGGGCACCCCGCCCCCCCAACGGCACCTCCCGCCCTCCCAGGTCAAGTTAATATTATTTAATTTTATTTTGTATATAGCGCCAGATCACAACAGAAGTCATTTAAGGTCACCTTTCCTATAGAACAGGTCTATACATTGTCCTTTTATTAAACAAACTAAATAGCCTTATGTTATTTATCTTATTTACAGAACAGCTTGTCATTTTTGTCTCTACACAGTCGCGTGTTTACAATTCTCCTCTGCTCTCTGTATCACACATGGCGGGGTTCCGCCTCGATGCGCGCGCACAGACACGTGCGTGCACACACAGGTGAGCACACTCGCACCAGCGGACAGAGAGTGTGTACTGGAAAATACGTCATGTCAACCACCTGAAGAGCAGACAAAAATATCTGCTTTTTTTTGACTGCTGTCATTAAAAGAAACACATGAACACCATGAATCCTGTCGGTGTCCGTCTGCACCCCCCCCCCAAAGCTGTAAACCTAGGGGACACACTGTGTCACACACACACACATACATACACGCACTGTAAGTATGCATATGTGTGTGTGCTACAGTATATGTACAGTATGTAACTGTGTAAAGTATATCTACTATATACTATGAAATGCCAGTAGTATACCGTAATATGGAATATTACAGTGAGTATACAGTATCACGGTATAGTGCACATTGTTGGATTGCATGCCTGTTTTCTCTGTGAAATGTTTGAATCACTAGGGACGCGATTGTTCACCCAACATTTGGCCGCATCCTTCGACCAGCCTCTGCCATTGTAAGGCCATGATTGAGGACATGGTCCACAAGTGTTGCCCTTATTTCATTAGGAGGGTGTCTCTGTTCTTGGCCTCTTCTACCTCTTCCTCTGTTTTGCCTCCCTACCTTTAAACCAAGCAGCCTTACTCCTCTTCTTCTCATCGACTTTTGATCTTGTTCATTTCCTTGTTGTTCTTCCATTGTCAAATTGTAACGCTGTTTTCTGCTCTGTCACTATATGCTTGCCAACTGAAGGTTCAGGAGAGGCGACTCTTAGCTATTTTAGAGAACTGGTTGATCATTAGTCGATCTAATACCTCAAACATTCCCCTCTATTGGTGAAAGTCTAGATTCAACTGAGAGAAATTCATCAAACCAGGTCACATTTACAAAAAAAATGTTAGAGATGTATAGAAAATATGCTTGACAGATTATGACAACTGGCCATAAAAAGATAAAAAGATGGTGGTGAGGTGGTCCTTTTTGCAGATTAAAGTCTGGCACGTTTTTTTTTTTCAGTTCATGAATTAATTTATTTTTAGTGTTTGTTTTCATTTCAGTTTTGTTTATGATAACAACACTGGTCCCAACAAGTCCAGCGCGCACAAACACACACACTGACACCATCAATCAACGTAGAATAAACCCAGATTAGCCTTAACATTTTCACCAACACTTATTCAATGAGGATTCTAATGTAGCAGGCAGACAGCTTTATGGCTTTAATAATGAGTGTATTTAGCAGCTACAGTACAAGAACAAAAGATATTAAAAAGCTCTCCGTTCTAATGCTAATTTAATAAACATGAATAGGCAGCACGGTGGTTTTGCCAACTCTGGCGGTCTGTTGTCCCAAATAGCTTCTGTACGTTTCCTCTTCAAGTGCTCGTGCTTAGCACTAGTGCCACATAATTGAAGCATTTTAGAAATCATAAAAGTAATTTTATTACAATAATTTTTTTTAAATGATGCATCAATTTCAAATATTGATCTTGACACATTTTCAGCGTCAACATAATCAACAGGGGTGTAAATCACAGCTTTCCTCGCGATACGATACAATATCGATTCCTTAATTAAGCCAACGGTGCGATTTTTTTTGATACCTCAGAAATTCCCACGATACGATACTATTCGATTCATTTCGATACTGGTTATAGTAGTCGAAATGATGAAATTTCACACAATCCTTTACATTTCAATGAATTAAAAAAGGCAAATATAATTAACATTTTATCATTTTATTGGGAACTGTAAACAAAATCTAGTGTAGTCAAGTACGCCCCATAAATCAAGCAAAATAAAGTGCAATAAGGTAAAAATGAAAACTTTGGATGGATGTACAGTAGATTAACATGGTGACTAATTTTTATTTTGAATCAAGTCTTCTCCAGACAAATACAAAAGTGTAACAAAAAAGTATGTCCATAACCATCATGACCTGCTCCTATGACCCTCTCATGTGCTACGCCCCTTATTAACTTCGTGTGCAATCCCGATTGTTCCCAGCTGTTTTATTGTCTCGTCTAGTCCTGTGTATTTAAGTCCACGTCAGAGTCTGTCGCCCAGATCTGTCATTGAAGTTTTCCCCGTGTTGTGTGCTGTGCTTGCAATAACCCCGCCCCCCTCCCCCCCGTTTGTTGGATTTCCGTCTGCCTGATCCTGATTCCTCATTCCCTGCTCGCTCGCCCTACACTGGGATACAACAAGAAAATAAAGTGCAATGAAGTCAAATAAAAAACATTGCATGGACAGACATGTAGAATGAGGAAGATCAACATGATTGACTTCTGCAGTGAAACAAGTATGTCAGTATTCTGCTTTGAGAGGTTTTTTTTTTTTTTTTTTTAAAGAAAAATTAAATGGTCAACGTGTTCAGGAGATTGTGTGCTCTGAGCGTAGCGTCCTATGTCACCTGCCATACTAAACACACGCTCTGAAGGTACGCTAGCCTGCGAGCTACTTATAAATGACCAAGTCAAAATGATTTACCTACCATAAAAATGCAAAACATATATTTATATATAAAATATTGAGTATTCTTTAATATTAATTATTATTATTATTATTATTATTATTATTATTATTATTAATTTCCTTTGGGATTAATAAAGTATTTTTGAATTGAACTGGGATTTTAGTTCCTTCACCTTTCTCTTTCTCAGCTTGCTTTTCAGAGGGAAGTTAATGTCGTAGTTTTTATGAACAGTCCGAAAATGCCACTCCACATTTCCCTTCTTCGGAATAGCACCGGTAGACTGACAGATGAGGCAAACGCACTTCGAATATGACATGGTGGGGGGAGAAAAAAAACCCCAAAATATTCCTCCTCCCATTCCATATGGAAGTGGCAGATTTTTGGCTTCTTACTTGGTCCAGCTCCCCCATTCATTTTTATACCCTTTCTTAAATTTAGTAGAAATAAATTGGAGGCTAACTAGGGGACCCGGTAGCTTGCAGCAGCTGGCGCGGTTGAATGCATCATCCATCCTCTATTTTTTATGCCATACGATCTACACACACTACCTTTGCAATCGACCAGTAGGTCGCGAAAGACGTTTTGGGCGTAGACCATGTATACGTCGGAGTGGATCATGAAGAGAATACTGGAACAGGCGAGAAAATAAAAACACATGTATCGATATTTATGCGGTCACATCGATGCATCAGATCGTTTGTGGTTGAATCGATATATCGATACAAATCGATGTATTGTTACACTCCTAGTAATCAACTACGTTGACTAATCGCAGCAGCCCTGTATAATTGTGTAATGTATAACGACTTATACAATGAACTAATGTATTGGGGGGACTATTCAACTGAGGACTAGTATAATACATTTTAAGTAACATGACATGAACAACTGAAAATGTAGGAATCCACAGATGTTTGTACATAATAATTTGCATGACTGTGCCAAAGCATTTGCAATTAGAATGAGACTTTGCCATTATGATGTGCACAAGTGACTCGATGATGTGGAGGTTGTAGTTATGCGAATTTCATTCCTGATCTGAGAAATGTGCCAAAGCAACTGAGAAAAGCTGTAACCTCAGCTGTAACCCCACCTCCTTATGTATACAAACATGCCATCTGTGCCACCCCTTAGTTTCACCTTTGACGTTTTGATCACCCTACTCCACACATAAGGATCCTCCTCCTGCTATATGCTTCCTGTCTACGAGTGACGTCCCATGGTACTGTAACCTGACTTGTATGTGTTTTATTTCGTTTTGCTGCTGCTGTTACTGAATGTCTGGTGTAGATAAATACTAGCATGTGTGCAGTGAGCTGAGGTCTCTTTTTGGCTAATGTCAGCTTCTGGTGTGGCCGTGCTTTAGACTGGTATGCTCTTTTTCTCCTGCCCCGTTGTTCTCACGCTCTGCTGTGTCTGTGGGATGTGGAACTTGTTGCGGTGGTGCAAGCGTCATGGCAACTGGCATGGTAACGCTGCAGGGCATAAAGCAATGTCTGTCCTTGTTGCTGCGAGCGTAGGCTGGGGGCATCTCTGCTTACGCTTACATGCAGCGACTCATCCGGAACCTGGCACCTACTTCTGGGTGTTGTACTGAGGATTTCAGGCCCTAGGGTACAACAGCAGTACCCCTGCTTTAAATAACTGGAGACCAGTAAAGTAAACGTGGTGAAGCATGAGGGCCAGGATGTTGGGGAGGAGCTGCAGTGCATTCTGGGAAGGATTGTGCTCCCCAGTGGCTTTTTATAGCAGCCTTCTTGTTCACCAACCCCATCATTGTGGGCTGCAGGCACATGGCTGAGCATGTGTGATGGGGACTGGGGGGGTTCACTGGTGGGGCTCCGCTGCCCCCTGCTGTTGGGGGCCCAAAGCAGGCCTGCAGCTACAAGGGACTGCTGACTGCTGTATGTATCTCTGTACACATCTCTTCATGTGTGTCTGTGTCTGTGTCACTGTGTCTGCCTGTATGTGCATGTCTGTGTATCTGGCTGCATTTGTGTGTGTGTGTGGCGTGCGTGTGCAGAAGCTGACACTTTACATTCCTCTCTAAGAGCCTGGGAACTGGGCAGGCCAGAACTGTGTGTGTCTGTCAGTGTGTGTGTATGTGTGTGTCTGTGGCCCGTGACCTTCCTGAATACTGCTGCTGTTCCTCCACTTTGTAATGCGTGGGATTAACTGATTAGCGTGTCTGAATTTCAGCATTTGCGAAAATTCCTCATCAGCCTCCAGCATGGTCAATAATGTTCACCGAAAGTGCAGTTCAGCTCTGTGTGTGTGTACGTGTGTGCACATTGTATTCCTTATTAGTGGTGTAACAGATGTAAGTCATTCTGGAAGGCTTTACATGCCAGACAACAAACAAACAAACACTTTTCTTGTCGTTCAGTTCAGTTCAGTTTCCTTTTCGAATTGCTGACTTTTGAGCTTTGGGAAATGTTTATAAGCACATGTGAAGTACACACCATGGCGAAGTTCCTCTCTGGTATCTTAGCTACATCTCACATTGCTTAATGCTTTGTTTTTCCACATAGCGATTCGCAGTCAAAAATTTGACTCGGTGTATTGCAAACACTAGATAAATTAATAAAAATGAATAAAAAAAAACACGAAACGGTACCTTGTCATACAATCAGAAGCGCCTGCCCTTGCGGCTGACCCTTGCATCAACGCTGGCTGTGGTGCCGGCCCCATGCCTTCCTGTAATGCTGTGTTAGTGCGTCACACGGTGATGACACACAGGGGGGTTGTCATGGCGATCCGAGCTCACACAGGAAGCCTGGAATTCCAGCTGAAGGGGAAGTTTCTTTGGCCAGGGCTTGCAGTGGACACAGGAGGCTTATCAGTCTGCGCCTCTCCTCTGTGCAGGTCACTCCGGCATCCATACTGTTGTGGTAAAAGCGTTATCTGTCCACTGTGCTGCAGTTGTACTTTAAATTTTTTTGTTGAAGATCTGAGTTTTAGGGGATTTTTAATCAATAAAACATCCAAGCAGTTAATTTGTGCATGTTGATGAGCAACTTTATGCAAATTGAATTTTAGTGGAGGAACATGGAATAAAATTTTCCAACATGACCTGAACCTGACCTTTGACCCTTGACCCCATTGGATAGGAGGCTGTGAATTGTGTGTCAGGGGTTTGAAGCTAAGTAATTGAACCTAGAACATTGCCTAACCACTGCTGTTTGTACAGCGCTGTCTATGTGGCTGTGTGTGTGGTCCTCTCTGCCTGACACGAGGTAATGAAGCCCCTCTGGGGTCTCTTGGGGATGGGGACTGAGTCCTATTGAGTGCTATCATGCTGCTGCTCTGGATCCTTTCTATTATGCTCTTTTGGACAGAGGAGTCCAGTGCATGGTTAGTGTATATAGTTGTATATAGTTTAGTCTTACCTATAATTTACAGGCATTGAATGTGAATGTGATAATATTACATTTTTTTTGGTTAGTTTTACTGTTTAATACTTTCCATTTTATTAGCAAATGATTATTTTTATAATATTAAAAGTAACTGCCCTGTGACCCTGATCAGGATAAGCAGTTGATGGATGGATGGATGGATTGAATGGTGGGTGGGTGGATGAATTAACTGTTTTGAACTATTTTGCAGCTCCCTTTTGTCTTACTGATCACTCCTTGTTCTAATTCATATGCTACATGTGTGAAAGCTTGATGTAACTTTTTCAATGGGTTTGACATGACGGAGAGAGATACGGATAGTAGAACAGAGAGAAAAAGACAAACAGGGAGAAACAGAAAGTGAGGGACAAAGACAGAGAGTGAGAGAGGTAGAAACAGAGGAACAGAGTCGAAAAGTGAGACAGACTGGAGGCTGGCTGATTAGACGCAGCAGAACCTGAGCAGCAACTCTGCACCTGATTGAGAATGAGACAGACTGGAGGCTGGCTGAACAAGTAAGTGAGACAGACGGCAGTGACTCATCCTCACGGCGGCCAGGCTCTACTTCCAGGAATATTTCATTAATCGCTATTCATCATCAGCATGGCCTTGGAAAGACCCACTAAGAGCAACCCTGTCATCTGTGCAAGGAGCGTGTTGGTGCACAATGGAGGACACCAGGGGGGAGCTGGGAAAGAGAAGTGGCACAAAAAGTGGGAAGTAACTTATGAGTCTGGGCGGCAGGGTTGGGGGGGCGACATGAGGGCTCATTTAGCTGTTCAAACAGAGAATGGGAACTATATACCATGCAGACTGCTAGACTTGTGGCATGTGGGTGTCACGTCCGGAACAGGTAAGCAGATGAAGGGAGCCGTGGAAACGAATAAATGGGATTTATTCGGGGTGACACACTGTAACATTAATGATCGGACTGGGGAAAACATACCTAACACAGACATAAATACATGGGACTAATGACAGCAACAAGAACTGGTAAACACAGGGATTCCACACGAAGTAGAAGAGGGGGCGTGGCATACGGGAGGAGTGGACGAGCAGGGCATGACAGGGGGGGTGAATGAATTTAGCAGAATGAATTCTTAAAGTCTTTCAGTACGGAGGATTTAGACCAAAGTCTTTCAGTACAGAAGAGTCTATGTATCCTCTAATAAATATTACTTTTATTATTTAATTATATTTTATTGTTTTGTTATACTTTACATATACTATAAGCCCTTAAGCACCCCAAACAGTTCTCCCGCGCCCCACATCATTCCCATGCCTCAGAAAACAGGATTACTATCCTTCAAAGCCACCATTTGGGTTCTGAGACATGACCTCAACACCAGCACACTGCAAACACCCCCATACCTTGGAGGAGTAACTATTAGCCAGGGCTGGGGCCCAACTGCTTGGTGACAGTGCCTCTAAGCCTGGGGGCTGTGGAAGCCGGCAGTGAGACAGAAGGTTAACCATCTGATTACACTTCTAAGTTTTGGTTAAGTCAGTGTCAGTTTTATCTGCTTTAAAATTATTATTTTGCAGATTTAAGTTATTTATTGTTTATGCCTTGTTTATAGACTGTTCTATATCCTTGCTTAATTTATGTATTTTATGCATACGAGTGACACTGACTGACACACAGTTCTGCTCATGTCAATAAAGCTATTTTTGAATATGTATTCTGGAGAGACAAGTGTAAAGATGGAGAGAGGAGGGGGAATGAGAGGAAGAGAGGGAGAGAACAAAGGAAAGGGATTGAGATGGAGGGAAAGTATGATAGAAGGGAACGCAGCAAGGGGGAGAGAGAAGAACACAGAGGGAGAAAGAGGGAGAGGCATGGAAAGTGAAACACAAAGAAAGCAGCTGAGGTAACAATGTTGAGGGATAATGCTGGTCCTTCTCTGTGAAACAGTGAAAAAAAATGGGGGAAGATCATCTCCTATCTTTGTGAAAGTCAAACATGGAGACGACTCAAAACATGGAGACAGATCACACAGGCCTGATGTCAGGGTGTGTGGGGTCAGTCAATCACATTTGGAGACAATGTCCAAACACAGAGACAGATCACACAGGCCTGATGTCAGGGTGTGTGGGGTCAGTCAATCACATTTGGAGACAATGTCCAAACACAGAGACAGATCACGCAGGCCTGATGTCAGGGTGTGTGGGGTCAGTCAATCACATTTGGAGACAATGTCCAAACACAGAGACAGATCACACAGGCCTGATGTCAGGGTGTGTGGGGTCAGTAAATCACATATGGAGACAATGTCTAAACACAGAGACAGATCATGCAGGCCTGATATCAGGGCATGTGGGGTCAGTCAGTCACATATGGAGACAATGTCTAAACACAGAGACAGATCACGCAGGCCTGATGTTAGGGTGTGTGGGGTCAGAGTCAGTAACGCAAATTTGACTTTACTGTTTTTATTATGAATCATTTTATAGTAACTAATAGTTTCAAACAAACGACTGAAAAACAGAAAAACTCAAAAATAGATGTCCTTTGAAGGTGAAAACTGTGTATTGAATGAGAAGTACAGCTGTGTCTGTGAGTGTGTCAGGTGGATCTGAAGAAAATTGGGCAGGTGGAGCTTCCCAACAGTTGGGGTGGGCGGGTGGGTCAGGGCGCAGGATGTTCAAACATTGATGATGTATGTGGGGGGGCAGAGGGAAAGGCACTCGCTACAGGAATGTGTCAGACGGTGAATCAGCACACAGGAATGTGTCAAACGGTGCATTCACCAGAGCAGCCTGCATGTGGTGTGAGAATAGTTACATTACATTTCCATCTACTTAGCAGCCGTACACCTTTTTTGAGAAAGCAGGGTCAGTCAGTTCCTTGAGAAATTGGGGTGAAGGTCTTGCTTAAGGCCCTAATGTTCGCATCACTTTGCCATCCCTGGGATTTAAACTGAAGCCTTCTGATCACAGGTCCTAAGCCTGACCTGAACAAACACACCCCCATCACCAGTGTCACCCTGAGCGAGCTGTGTGGAGCAGCGACGATCTGCGTCTCTGAGGAGCTCTAAGGAGCAATGTGGAGCTAGGGGGATCTGTAAGGACCTGTGAGGAATTGTGTGGAGCAGTGAATATCTGTGAGGATCTATGTCTCTGGGTAGCTGTGAGGAGCACTGTGGAGCTGTAAGGATCTGTGTGGAATTTTGTGGAGCAGTGAGGAGCTATAAGGAACTTTGTGGAGCAGTGAGCAGCTGTGAGGATCTGTGTATCTGAGGAACTGGGAGGGGCTGTGAAACCCTCAGATATCACAGGCCTCTGCTGCCTCCATGCTTCCAGCATTCATGTCAGAGTAACTGAGCTCCTGTCTGGAGGGTCATGAGCCTCTCCTCGCTGTGCATCCTTCGGCTTCTCTCAGTGACATAGTGGGGGCATACTTACAAGACAGGCATCCTTTCTGCCACTTTGTCAGTTTTATCGTTTATCATTTGTTTTGTGGTTAAAGATCCTTTAATTTATGAAAGATCTTAGCTAATAGGAAACTGTGCGTAGTGTGTGTCTCTGTGTGTTGTTATTGTTGATGTGCTCTTGCCATGTGATGATCAGTCCCCGAGGACCAGCTACAGTTACGCAGAAAGACACCTTCTCCAAAGACACTCTTCCCCCATCCACCTCCCTTCGCGTTTTCCTCCTACTTCAGTCCTCGCCTTGGCACTCCCACGCAGCTTGTCGATGTCACCGTGTAACAGCACTGTGGAGGGCTGTCACAGTGGCCTTAGGCTGCGGGGGAGGCCATGTTAAGCAAGTTAAACTGTGGTACGCAGCAGCCCTGCAGGCTCCACTCCGCAGTCCCACAGAACACGCGTGCTGTAAGGCTGCAGCATGAACCCTTTTATCTGCCGCTGTTATTATTATTGTTTTGACATGTTTCCTGCCCTGTAGCTATGATGGTGCTTCTTTATGGTGCTTCTCTGCAGCAAGGAGCTGCTGAATTCACTCAGCCACCGCAGAAGCACCATGTCGGGGGGGGGGGCAGGGGGGTGCCCATGCCCATGCCCATCAAACTTGTCATACCAGCCCCATATCACGCCATCCTTTGGTGGCTCTAGCAACTGCAGGCCAGGGATATTTTATTACTAATTAATACTGATCCAAATGTGCAGCTGAGATGCTGGTATGTTCTTCCATCACCAGAGCTTTGACAGAACTTTGCAGTTGTAGCTTTTGGCATCACATATAACCTTAAAATCTGAAATGGTATTGCCTTGTTCAAGGCCATCCATCCATCCATCCATCCATTTACTTCCGCTTATCTGAGGTCGGGTCGCGGGGGCAGCAGTCTCAGCAGGGAAACCCAGACTTCCTTCTCCCCGGCTACTTCCTCCAGCTCCTCTGGGGGAATCCCGAGGCGTTCCCAGGCCAGCCGAGAGACATAGTCTCTCCAGCGTGTCCTGGGTCTTCCCCGGGGCCTCCTCCCAGTGGGACATGCCCGGAACACCTCACCAGGGAGGCGTCCAGGAGGCATCCTAAGCAGATGCCCGAGCCACCTCATCTGGCTCCTCTTAATGCAGAGGAGTAGCGGCTCTACTCTTAGTCTCTCCCAAATGACCGAGCTCCTCACCCTATCTCTAAGGGAGAGCCCAGCCACCCTGCGGAGAAAACTCATTTTGGCCGCTTGCACTCGCGATCTCGTTCTTTCGGTCACTACCCACAGCTCACTGCTGACGCCGCACTGATCCGCGTGTCGATCTCCCGCTCCATCCTTCCCTCACTCATGAACAAGACCCCGAGATACTTAAACTCCTCCACTTGGGGAAGGACCTACTGCCCGACCTGGAGAGAGCACTCCACCCTTTTCTGGCTGAGGACCATGGTCTCGGATTTGGAGGTGCTGATTTTCATTCCAGCCGCTTCACACTCGGCTGCGAACTGTTCCAGTGAGAGCCGAAGGTCACGGTCTGATGAGGCCAACAGAACCACATCATCTGCAAAACGCAGAGACCTAATCCTGAGGTCACCAAACCGGACACCCTGGCTGCGCCTAGAAATTCTGTCCATAAAAGTTATGAACAGAATCGGTGATAAAGGGCCTCACCGGGGACGAGTCC